GCTCATTTCATGGTCATATGTCGAAGAAGACTCACCATTTAAGGGACCATAAATACATATACAATTTTATTTCTTTTTATTTATATGTAGTCTTTTAAGCTGCTATTGCTTAGGCTATAGCTGCTTGTCTGTCTCCTTCCAGGGAGAGTGTGTTTGGAGAGGGGGGCAGTGGTAGTAGTGGTAGAGGACCAGGACTCATTCCCCTAGCTAGAGGAGTAAGAGACTGCTGTTTCAGCTGGGTTGCTCTTGAGGGTGACTGGACAGACAGTTCTGTTACCTTATGGCTTATTCAAATACAAAGAAGTCTCTTTTGCTTTTAAAAAAAAAAATGCTATTTCTTCATGTTCAGAGAATGCTATTTTAATTTGTTCATATGCCTGTGTAGTAATCTTTTTTACACATTCTCTCTTCCTTTAGTACTGAAAAAGATGAGCTGCAAATGTCTGCACTATGGCTCTGCACTGCTAACCAAAAGGTGTGGCAGAGGAGTTCCTGTAGTGTAGAACTATATAGCATCTGCATTCTGTGCATGCTTGTGCTGGTCTCCTGTAGTGCTTGCTATGCATGTCTCCAGAGCTCTGGGCAGCAGCCTACTTACAAGATAATTGTGCTGTATATCTTTGTTTACAGGAAACATATCCCTTTGCCTTAGAAAACATAAGTGGTCTAAATTACAGACCTGTCTCTCTTCCTGTATGCTTCAAAATCTTTCTTTCCTCCCGAATAGAGAAATATGTCTAACTTATACACATACTCAATGTTATGCGAGCCCCTATCCATCTTGGCTTGTAGAATATACAAGACTTCTCAAATATACATAAGGAAGCAAGACTTAGGGGGCCTTGCTTCAAGGGAGGTCTAATACAATCAAGGCTGAGTGATATCATTTGTAAGGGTGTCTGACTTCAAAGTGCCATGTAGAAATTAGCTGGACAGCTGTTAATTAGAACAGGCTTGTCTTAATGAGAGCTGCTTCTCTTCAGCAGAAAACCATATTTAGTTGAAGCCCAGGTTTGCAGGTCTAGTACCATAATGTTTGATTACAAAATATTCTTCTGCTTTGGCAGGAAGTCTATCCAAACAGCACTTTGAAAAACAAAACCTGAAAATCCTTTTACCACTTCATACACTTGCAAAATATCGTAGCTTTTCTTATTGCTCTACTTAATGTTGCAGGACTGAAGTCTCATCTTCAGGACTAACTTTGGCTGGTTAGGAGTTAATGGGATAGATCCAATAAATCTTTTGGACAGTTGCCCATGAGAAATAGTCTTTGAATTCAGAATTGAGTATCCAGTTTTCATGTACAGCATGTGGGATAGGTTTGGCACCTCAAAGTCCATGCAAGATACTGGGATGTTGACTGGGTGCTTGTTGGAGTTGGCCAATAGGAAATGCTAAGCATGGAGATTTGTCTAAAATCCTGCCTCTTTCAGAAGTTAGGTCTGCAGGCAGGCACTTCCATGTTCTAGAGCCTGGATCATGTGTTTGAAGATGTGCTGGTAGTGGTGGTGTTGCCTGTCTTTACTCTACAGGTGTAGACCTGGGATGTAGGCTGATGTTAGTCTGAGTAAGTTCAATCTACACCTTCCTGGAGATTGCCCCAATTACTAGGCTATATAGGTAGATCTGAGTAGGGCTGTGCTACTGTGCATAGTTTAGTGGTTGGGCTAATGGGTTAGGGTGTGAAAGTCTTGGGTTCCAGTCTCTCTGTTCTTAGGGTTATTTGTTATTGTCTGTCTTACATTTTGCATTGAAACAGTAGCCTTCAGGATTTGGGACTAGAATAATTTTTGGCAGTTTTTAAATGACAGTTGAGTATACCAGGGCTAGTTCTGTGTGGGTTTAGTTTAAAGCACAAGATTAGGAACCATAGTAATCTCAACCCTTTCTTCTGACTCGGGACATTTCTGGCTTAGAAAGTACTGTAGGTGTTCAGTAGCTTTTTTTAGTTTAACAGGTTCAGCTAAACCACATGGGGCAACTGACGCCCAGGAAAAAGCCAACCTGCTTAATGGGTATTTTGCGTCAGTTTTTCACCAGCCCCAAGGGACGGCACTGCTCAATATGGTAGGACGGCCAGGGCGAGGGAGAATTGTTACCCTTCATCAATGTAGACCATGTGAAGGAACACCTTGAGAGCCTGGATACCTTCAAGTCAGCTGGCCCAGACAGTTTACACCCCAGGGTACTTAAGGAGCTGGCAAGCATCATAGCTCAGCCACTGGCACGGATCTTCGAGACCTTGTGGTGCTCAGGTGAAGTGTCCGAAGATTGGAAGAAGATCAATGTGGTGCCTATCTTCAAGAAAGGGAGGAAAGTGGATCCGGGTAACTACAGGCCAATCAACCTGACCTCTATCCCAGGGAATCTTGGAAAAAATTATCAAAGAGACCATTGCCATCAGCCAGTTTGTCGAGAATGTCCTGAGGGATAGCTAGCACGGGTTTGTTGCAGGTAGGTCTCGCCTGACCTATCTGCGATATCTCCTCCTACAACCAGGTGACACATCACCTGGATAAGGGAGAAGAGATAGATGTCATATCTTGATTATTTTTTTTTTTTTTTTTTTTAAAAGCCTTCAATTTGGTATCTCATGATCATCTCATAGGAAAAACTGGCCAACTGTGGCCTCGGCTACATCATAGTCTGCTGGCTGGGGAATTGGTTTTGAGGTCAGACCCAGAGAGTGGTAGTTGATGGAAGTAAATCATCATGGTGCGCCGTGACCAGTGGGGTCCCCCATGCTTCTGTCCTTGGGCCTATACTCTTTAACATCTTTTATTTATGATGTGGATATTGGTATCGGAAGCGGACTGGCCAAGTTTGCCGATGGCACAAAACTTTAGGGTAAAGTATTCATACCCAAGGACGGGATGATGATCCAGGCCAACCTTGACAGGCTTGGAAAAACCTAATGGCCTCATGGGCAGTTGAAAACCTGATTGTCTTCAACACTGAAAAATGCAAGCTGTACTTCACCTTGTGAAGAAAAACCCGCAGCATGCTTACAGGCCGGCAGTGCTACGCTTGCTAGCACCACGGCCGAAAGGGACTTGGGTCACGACTGACCACAAGATAATATGAGCCACCAATGTGATGTTGCAGCTGGTAAACTGAGCACAACTCTGGCTTGTATCCATAGATGCTTCTCAAGCAAATCCCAGGATGTCATCCTCCTACTATAGCTGCATCTTCACCAAGGCCGAGTAGAGTACTGCATCCAATTCTGGGCTCCACAATTTAAAAAGGACGTGGAGAAGCTTGAGAAAATCCAGAGGAGAGCCACATGCATGATCAGAGGGCAGGAAAACAGGCCTTATGATGAGAGGCGGAGAGCTGTGGGACTCTTCTGCCTGGAAACGCGTGGGCTCCGGGGGGACCTGGTGGCTGCCTACAAGTATGTAAGGGATGCACATCAGGATCTGGGGGAATGCCTGTTCACCAGAGCACTGCAAGGGATGACGAGGTCAAACGGTCACAATTGATGAGAGGCGGAGAGCTGTGGGACTCTTCTGCCTGGAAACGCGTGGGCTCCGGGGGGACCTGGTGGCTGCCTACAAGTATGTAAGGGATGCACATCAGGATCTGGGGGAATGCCTGTTCACCAGAGCACTGCAAGGGATGACGAGGTCAAACGGTCACAATCTCCTCCAAGACCGTTTCAAGCTGGACATAAGGAAGAACTTCTTTTACTGTCTGAGCCCAGCTGACTTTGTGCCCCTGGGGCAGGGGGCTGGACTTGATCTTCCAAGGTTCCTTCCAGCCCTAATGTCTATGAAAGGGCAACTTTTCTTTAAACTGTAACAAAGGGAAATTCATTAATACTCTCAGTGATCCTAAAAGATTCATAGATGACTAAAGAAACAGCAAGCTGTTCCCCCATTCTGTCTTTATTGTTCTTGAACACATGTAGCTGAACATGCAGGGAGGATGATATCCTTGCTATCGAGAACAGCACCAGGGAGACTTCCTTCACTCTGGTGTCATGTGAACAATTGGTTGTTGTTTTCAGCATGATAGTAAGCCAAAATCAAGGTTCATGCTCAACCTATGAGTTACTAGTTAGTGAATATTGTCTTAAGCTTTTGATCTGGTTGTTAGTCCTTCTGAGGCTATGTACAGGCAGTCAAAAAGCCCGAGACTGAATTGATTCAGTCTTTGCAGGTTGGTCTAACCTGCATAGACTGAACCAATAAGCAAGTGTACAGACATGCACTTTTGATTCCAGAAATGCAGCCACATGTCTGCAGTGACCCAGGCCAGGAGCCAGGGGGCCCTAGAGCATGCCTCCCTGCTCTGCTGGAGCAGACAGCTTGAGCCAAGGCTAGACTGCCCACCCTGTGAGGTGGGGAGCTGTGGGGGAGGTGCAAAGCATATTGGGATTCTCGAGGGCTGAGTTAACTTGGATCTGGGACAGAAGTTCAATAAACTGATTCAATCTAAATCAGTTAAGTCTGATGCTACATCTATTCAGGTTCATCTTAAACTGGCTCTGACCATTTTGAAAGCGTTTTATGTGCGCTGAGCTTCTGTTGTGTTGCAGATTTGAACTGGCTTCTAATCACTCATACCAGTTTGTGTAATTTCTGTCCCTAGCCCAAATATGAATGATTGACTCAATTTGCTGATTTAAATAGCAAATGCATTAAACATGATTTATATAACTGTTTGCCAAAAGGGAAGACTTCTTAATCTCTTATAGATTAGATGCAGAGAACTAGCTTTAAATGTGTTTCCAGTTGCTTCTCATGAGCGAAAGCTTAAACTCTGCACTATACTACTGCCCCTGGCCTAATAAAAGAAAATGCAGCGAGCAGTGTGGCTTATTAACCAAAATTTTTTTGCCTCAACTCCTAGAGGTGCACTGATACACCAGTCTGATTTATGGATCGGTACTGATATAAAGAAAATTGGCTGTATTGGAAATCCACCTGAAGTGACTGATAACTTGGCTGATAAATGCCTGTGCATGTGTGCAGTTGCAGCATAGCATGTAGTCAGTGAGGAGCATAGCCCGACAGAGTGGAGAGCTGTGTGCAGCTGGTAAGTCCCTGTGGTGGAAGGGGCATGGAGGGAGCAGATTAACATCCCCTTTGGTGAGGGAGGTGGCAGGGGCAGGCGCTGCCCAGTTGGGGTGGGTTAGGTGTGGGATGGAGCTGTGGCTCATGGCAGTGGGGGGTGGCTCTTGCCACTGGGGACACCCCAGGACATGGGGGACGGTGGGGGTGGGCATGTTCCCTTAAATCTGTGCAGGGCAGGCTGCAGCTGCCGGGTAGAGCTGGGCTGCGCTGGGCTCTTCTTGGTCAGGGCTGGGCTCGGGGTGGGTGGCAGCAGTGCTGGGAGGGGGGCTATAGAGGGGTCTGCAGCCACCCCAAATTTTGCCATAGCCTCTCTTCCAGCACCGCTGCTGCCCTCTTGGCACAATCCTCACTCTTCTTGGTATGTGGGGGGAGGTGGGGGTTGAGCCAGGGGTGCCTCGGGCAGGCTGCACCAGTGCTGGGAGCAGGGCTATGGTGAAATTTGTGGTGGTTGTAGCCCCCTCCATAGCCCTAGTCCCAGCGTCGCTGCCTAGTCCAAGCCCAGCCCCCTGCTGAGACGAGTCTGGCACAGCCCTGGCTTCAGCCCACAGCTGCAAACTGCCCACCCCACACAGATCTGGGGGCCCTCCCAGGATACATGCAGCGGCAGGAGCCCCCCACCTCAGAAATCGGATCAGTATTGGCTGATATGCCTCCTTAAATATCGGCTATCGGTATCAGCCCCCAAAATCGCTATCGGTGCACCCCTACTCAACTCTGTTCCATATGCACACTCTGTCTAGTCTGCTCTTCCATATCTGAAAATGGAGTTTCTATGCCTTATCCCTTGAGAATCTACTTTACTAAAAATTGGGGCCTTTCCCAAGCCTGTTGAAGCCTGTGGAATATACTTTTATGGCCTTCAGTAGGCTTCTAAAACACAATTGTCTGGATTTCAGAGGTATTGAGAAACACTAATGATGCTGATTAGACCCCCCCCCCCCCCCCCCCCAAAAAAAAAAAAACCAAAAAAAACCCAACAAAAACCCAAGAACTTTATTCATGGAACATACAAACCTTTATTTAACCTTTTTTTTGGGTGGGGGAGGGAGGGGGACATATAGACCCAGCCTTACCATTCCATCTCAAGTTAGTGACAAATTTATCTGCCATCTTCTAGTTAATCACAGGTGACCACTGCAGTTGTCACAGTGATTGTGTGTGTGTGTGAGAGAAACAGGACTCCCTTAAAATATTTTTTCCAGTATATGTTGCGTCAAAATGGTGGCAATGCTGTGGTTGTGTATAAACTAACGTGTCTGGAATTCCAGCTGCATGTCAGAATAAACCTGCAATATAAATGTAAATAAGTATTGGATGTTCTGTGGTGGTGTTTTTGGGCTTGTTTTAAATCATAACAAAAGATAGTATGGGCAAGCCATTTTAAGATGATGATGTTGTGTGGCCTTCTCTCCTAGGGGATGTGCTCTGAGAATTTCCTTTCTTTTAAATCAAGGCATTGGTAAAGTATCTTACTGTATCTTCAGAAAGCTTGCAAAAGCACTTACGTGGTTGACAATAGATTCCAAACCCTAGATTGGTGAAACTGGACATCTTTCTTTTTGGCACAACACTAATGTTATACCAACACCTGATATCTTTCTCTGTTGTGTAGATGCAAATGTAACTGCCTTGCTTAGCATTTCTGAAGCAATACAGATGTAATCTAGACTTAAAGAAATCTAGTCCCTCTGAGTTGTGATATGCTGTTCCATGATGGAGTGTGCACTCTGAAGAAATGCATGGGATGGTGGGGTCAAAGCTGGGCACAACTACTTCTTGGTCCTAATTCAAATTGGATTTAGTATCACTAAGTGTTAAACTTTTCAACTGGAAAAGTTGTGTGGCAACTACTACACAAATTGCAGCATTTAGGCCAGGCACAGACATTACAAGTTTATTGGTATAAGTGATCGGAAACCAATCTATACCTGTAACATAACAGAAGTTTGGGCAACACAGACTGGCTTAAAAATGGCAAAACGTCTAAGATTTGCACACAGCTCCTCCCCCTTCAAGGGCAAATATGTGTTCTGTTTGCTACTGATTTCAAACTATGCCGCTTACAGAAAACCATGTAACTTAGATCAGTTCTACTTTGGGCATTTTGAATGTCATTACCTAGGCACAGCCTTCTAACTGTCTTATAAATGTCAAGTTTTTTTATTTTTTTTATTTATTTATTTTTTTTTTTTCTGTCTCTGTCTCTCCTAACCTTAACAGCAAGTTTAAGTTTAAACAGCAAAAGAGGACATAAATTCAATTTTCTTGTGTATCCTTTGCAGGGCACGTTTAAAAGTAACTAGTCTGAAGTCAAAAGGGGAAGAGGGGGAACACTGACGGTATTTCCAAAGCTATTTCTGGGCTTCTTGGAAGAATTCTAGTGAGTCCCATCTCCACTGGTAGCTGAAAGCTCCTGAACCTTAATTGAAGGGATGTGCCTCTAACAAAGGCAGTGTCTTCCTTTAGTAGCAGTAGGATTATATAAATACATAATCCTACTACTACTAGGGAAAACTTGATACTATTTAGTTAGTTTGTTTATTTAAAAATAACCAGCCATGCTACTTCATAGATAAAGACACAGCCTGACTTTCTCTCCATCTGTTTTCATTCTTTGAAATCCTAATTTTTGCTCTGAGAATTGAGACTTCACCAATAATTGTTATCCTCTAATGTTGCTGTGATCTTCATGCTTAAGCTGAAATTTTCTTCACAAAGAGAGCATGTGCTTATTAACTAACATCTGAAGTGTGTATGGTATGGTATGGCTGTTGTTGATCTATTGATAAATGTTTATAGTGCTCCTGTTTAATGTTCAAGGGGGGAGATATTTAGCCTGTGTAAAGGAAATATTGTTGAATCTAAACACTTGTTCCCTGAGATCATCCAATTGCCAACTTCTTTTTAGTCCTAAATATACAAGTTGAAGATGGATTTAATTTAGTAGTAATATCTTTGTGTATTCAAACCATAAAGTACAGTGTTTATATAGAGGTTTGAACCTTGACTGAATGAACTTGCTCAGCTTCAAAAGCAAAAATGCTTTCTAAGAAGATTGTGGGCAGGGCAGCAGAAGCTGTATAGACCAACTCCTTTGAATGAGTTAAGTTGAGGACCACTGTTACAGACTTGAGGCTCCCCTCAGAATGTGTCTGCTCATAGTATTCAGTTTTTTTTTGGTTTTTACTATGGAAAAATAATAGAGCAATTCTGTTACAAAGAACTCGGACCAGAGCAGGTCAAAGTGTTTTTTTTTTTTTTTTTTTTTAACACTCTGAATTCCCATTTGAAATCTCCGGGATAATCATGTTAGCACTCTTAGGCTTGCAAACACTGCGTGGCACGTGATAGCACCCTTGAAAAGATGTGGCACCCTAGGGCACCTTGACAGCACCCTTGTTGAATCTGCCCTCCCCCTCCCCCCAACATGCATACTATTCCAATAATGACTTGGGTTATGAAGACCCTAGGTCATCCAGGAAAAGCATGGTTGCAACTAACATAAGCTTGTACGTACTGTAGCACAGTAATATGCAAAGCATGGAATGATGGCATAGCCTTTGGGAAGGCCTACTGTGCTTGGGGAAATTGTAGCTTTTAATGCTGTCTGCTATAAAACCTGACTCTGAAAGACCATGTTTAAACAGAGAATTGTGTTTATGTTCCTAAGGCCCATGGGAAGGGAAAGCCTTTTGTGGCTCTCTGCAGTTTAAAAAGTCAGTTGCATGCATGGAGAGTGAAAGTAGCTTGAATGTACTGTCTGTCAGGTTGGAATGAGTAGGGGTGGGGAGGGAGGGTTAATATTCAGTGAGTGTGTCTACATGCACTTTTATGCATGCCTAATGCACATTAAAGTGATTTTTAGGCATACATCTACATGTTCATGCACTAAGGTGCATTAATGCGGGTGTGCAGACTGATTTTTTGGGATTAAAGTTGGTTCCAGGTCATACTATACTGCATTAATGTGACTTAGCGTGTCTACACGTTTGCTGATGCGATTTACAGAATAGTAGGACCAGAACAGACCTGTAAGATCATCAAGTCTGGTCTCCTGCCATGGGCAGGAGGTAATTGGGCTTAAATCAGCTCAACGAGGTGTGCACCATCTTTGTGCAATCCCTTGTGATACCCGGAGGAGTGGATTCTAAGTTGGACAAACATGAATGTGGTCTGCTTGGGTGTACTGATTCAGAACACTGTCTAGATCAGTCCACTTTTTCTGTCTTGGGAAAATCATAGTTCATTCACGTATCTCTTTTTCATCACCCTCTTCCCAATCTGCTGCAGCTCCTCCAGTGAGCTGTATATTCACTTTTGAGTTTGGTAATAAAACTACTTGGTAATAAAAATTCATTTAGTTCCTTCTTCCTTTTGTGACTGGTTGATTAATAATAGCATGGAATTTTTTCCATGTACTGTAAAAATCTATATTATAGCTAGCTAACTGATCTGTTCTCAGTATTACAACACTTCATATAGAAAGTTTTATTAAAGCTATAGACTTCATGGTTATTGTTTCCCAGAATTTTCTTTGGTAGCTCGTCTACGCTGGCTCAGAGCAAACGCTAATCAGTGATTTGGCTTATTTAAAAAGAACTAAAGAAACAGGTGGGTTAATAGCACATGTGTATGCACAATGTCTGCTTTACTTGGAGCTATTTAAGTTCGGGATGGGGGAAGTGTTACGCTCTCAATAACAATAGCACTTCATGGGTCCTGCCAGGCTGTTGCCTCATGCTGAATAACAGCATGTGCTAGAAGCTTACTGTTCATAACCTTGTCTTGTGGCATTCCTTTGGGTATTGCTTCCGGACAAAATATTGTGCTAATGCTACTTCATAATGCATTTTCTTTTATCTTTCTAAAAATGTCACAGAAAGAGGAAAGGCCAGTGATAGAAAAAGGCAGGAATCTTTCTCCTTTTGAGCTGTAAAATGTTGGTGACTAACATACTTCAGA